CCTCCCCCCGCGCCCCGGCCACGACGGGGGCCCACCTGGAGCAGATGATTTCGTCGGAGGACTGCACGCCGGGCAGCTCGGCCAGGTGGTTGTCCGAGAGGTTCAGCTTCCGCAGGTTGATGAGCCCCCAGGGGACGACAGACGGGAGGGAGGCCAGGCAGTTGGCCGACAGGTCCAGCTCCGTGATCTGGCAGGAGATGTCGATGAGCCAGTCGATGTCCACCCAGGGCAGCTTGAGGTGAGCCCACTTCACACGGAGAGGCTGGGCGGGCCAGAGAGTTAGACAGACAGACGTCAGCGCTCCCCAGACGGGACCGTGTCACCCGCGGGCTGACGGCTGGGTGAGGAGACACCCGTCAATGGCCATGAGTTTGCTGTTCAAAATCTGCTGCTGTGCCGCACTTCCCTCTCTGGCCACGAGGTGGCGGTGCGTGTCTTGTCTTCAACTCCTGAGCTAAGTCATCAGACCCCGAACCCGCCCCATCGCTTACACCAGCGGTTCTCAACCTGTGGGTCGCGACCCCTTTGGCGGTCGAACGACCCTTTCACAGGGGTCGCCTAAGACCATCCTGCATATCAGATATTAACATGACGATTCATCACAGTAGCAACATGACAGTGATGAAGAAGCAACGAAAATAATTTTATGGTTGGGTCACCACATGAGGAACTGTATTTAAAGGGCCAGAAGGTTGAGAACCACTGTCTTTACACCCTCTCAAAGCTACGAACCAGGAGGTCCCGGTTCGATTCCCGGTCGGGGCACACGCCTGGGTTGCGGGCTCGATCCCCAGTGTGGGGCGTGCAGGAGGCAGCGGATCCTTCGATGATTCTCTCTCATCAATGATGTTTCTACCCCTCTCTCCCTCTCCTGTCCTCTCTGACATCAATGAAAACATATTCAAAAACACACACACTAAAAACCTCAGCGGACAGTGGAGATCCGCGGGGGTTTCTCGGCAGTCCCCTCTCTGCTGTCCGAGGAAGGTTCTAGAAGCCTGAGAACCAGGCGATGCAAGGCAGGGAGACATGCAGGAGGGCTCTGGGCTCCACCGGCCTGTCTCCACAGAGGCAGCACGATGACATTAAAAAAATACCAACTCGCCTTGGCCAGTGTGGCCTAGTGGATAGAGCATCGGACTGTGCACGGAAGGGCCGCAGGTTCAATTCCCGGTTAAGGACATGTACCTGGGTTGCAGGTACGGCTGGAGCGTGTGAGGGAGGCAACGAACAGATGTGTCTCTCTCACATCTCTCTCTCTCTCTCTCTCTCTCTCTGTCTTGGATAGAGCATCGGACTGTGCACAGAAGGGCCGCAGGTTCAATTCCCGGTTAAGGACATGTACCTGGGTTGCAGGTACGGCTGGAGCGTGTGAGGGAGGCAACGAACAGATGTGTCTCTCTCACATCTCTCTCTCTCTGTCTCTCTCTCCCCACCCCCCCTCCCTTCCACTCTCTCTAAAAAGAATCAGAAAAAAAATAGCCTTGGCTAGTGTCGCTCAGTGGATAGAGCACCAGCCCTCACACTGAGCGAGGTGGCGGGTTTGATTCCCCATCAAGGGCACGTTCCTGGGTTGCAGGTTCGATCCCTGGCCCCGGTGGGGCGTGTGAGGGAGGCAACCAATTGTGTTTCTCTCACATTGATGTCTCTCTCTCTCTCTCCTCATTCCCCTCCACTCTCTCTAAAAATCAATGGGGAAAAAAAAATACCCTTGGGTGAGGATAACATGAAAGAAAAAATACCCTTGGGTGAGGTTAACACACACACTCAAGAACGAGACAACTACTTCACTGCCAGTGAAGTCAAGGGCGTTTTCCGGCCTCGTACATACATGGCGGCAAAGCACCCTTCTCATGCCTTCGCCTGACATTCCGAACCCCAAATGCCGGCTCCAGGGCACCTGGAGAGGCAGGAACACTTACCTCTGGCTCCTGACTCATCGCTGGACCCTGTGGACGGACCCTCCCTTCCGCTGGCAGCTTAGAAGGACTGTGCCGTCCCAGGTTCGAGACCCGGGCAGCCGGACACTCCCCCTGCAAGGTGCTCGCCTTTTGAATGTCACTTGAATAATAAGAAAAAAGTCCCAGGTGCTCTGGGGAAGCCCAGCGAGCCCTGCTGACTCCAGCTGCTCTGCGGTTTCATTTTCTCTTCGGAGTCTACACCGAAGGGCCAAGGAGAAGGGAAGCCAGGTATATCTTTCTCTCATCACAGATATACACTGAGTGGCCAGATTATTATGACCACCCCATCAGTACAATGAAGTGAATTAATTATGCAAATAATAATAAAACCTGGAGAGTGTTTGCTTAGGAAGTTTTCAATGTTCAGTATTTTTGGAAGTGTCAATGAAGTACTGATGGGGTGGTCATAATAATCTGGCCACTCAGTGTAGATGCCAACTACTTCTTTCTTTAAAATATATATATTTTTTATTGATTTCAGAGAGGAAGGGAGAAGGAGAGAGATAGATAGAAACATCCATGATGAGAGAGAATCATGGATCGGCTGCCTCCTGCACACCCCCTACTGGGGATCGAGCCCGCAACCCGGGCATGTGCCCTTGACCGGGAATCGAACCGAGACCGCCTGGTTCCTAGGTAGATGCTCAACCACTGAGCCACACCGGCCGGGCTAAATGTCACCCTTAACAATACAAGTTCTAATGAAACTTCCTGAGTAAGACAGAAAGTTCCCGAAGTCGTTTTGTCAAACTCACGTAGCCTTATGCAACGTCTCATAAAAACAACACAAAACTGTAGACCGGTTCGGCGAAACGTTACCGATGCAAAAAATGGTCAATAAAATATCAGTGGGTCCAATTCAACAGCAAAAAAGCCAATTAGCATTTATTACAGAAGTTAGAGAGCCAACATCCATCACCCTCATTCATTCCAGGAATAAACAAAGCAGAAAACCTCCAGAAATATAGAAATGGGGTTTGACATCATTCAGCAAACTTTCCTAATAAAAGCTCTGAGCAAAAAGAAATAACATGGAAACTACCTGTATATAACAATAGTCTATTTTCCAGAAAATCTACAGCAAATGCCCCTAACTTGTTGCAGGCAAGACCTTTAAAATCAGGAACAAGACAGACAGATCTATAATCACAATGATTCCACTTTCAAAATGTCTAGTTATTCACAATAAGACATCCACTCAAAAAAGTTGTATACATATTAGAAGAGACAAACCTGTCTGCAATTTGCAGATGACTTGATCCGATCCCTAACCCCCCCCCACCCCCCCAGAGGAACTCTTCTAAAAACTATTAGATTCAATAAGAGAAGCCCGGCCGGTGTGGCTCAGTGGTTGAGCATCGACCTATGAACCAGGAGATCACGGTTTGAATCCCAATTAGGGCACATGCCCGGGTTGCGGGCTCGATCCCCAGTAGGGGGAGTGCAGGAGGCAGCTGATCAATGATTCTCATCATTGATGTTTCTATATCTCTCCCACTCCCTTCCTCTCTGAAATGAATAAAAGTAAATTATTTTTAAAAAGCAACCAAACCAACAAACAAGAAACTAAAGAACTTCTCTCCAGACCAGTAACATCAGGTCGGACGGAAAAGGGGATAATAAAGAATTATATATTTCCATGCAAATAGCGCCTAAATCAATAAAGAAGACACAAATGAGCAACACAGGCCTGGGGCCTTCATGGAGAAAATGACACAATGTCATTAAAGGACAGAAATGAGCATCAATCCAGTCGCTGCAAAAAATTCGCAAAACGGAAGAACAAATATGTATATAGTAGCAGTCAAGATAGTGTTGAGAAAAATCAAATAGCAAATAGAAAACTCGCATTAACAGATTAAGAGGCCAGGAGACCAGTACTGAGACCTCACCAGGCACACAGGTACATCTTGGGGGAAAGTGAGGATGGTGACATTTCAATTCACAGGGACAAGAAAGCTTCATTGTACAAATTCTGCTGGAATAACTGCCCATCTATCTAGAACAGAGAGCCAGATCGGCCGCCTCCGGCACGCCCCCTACTGGGGATCGAGGCCCCAACCCCGGGCATGTGCCCTGACCGGGAATGGAACCGTGACCTCCTGGTTCATAGGTCGATGCTCAACCACTGAGCTATGCTGGCCGGGCTATATGCCGTCTTCTTTGTTAATTTTTTAAAAATATATTTTTATTGATTTCAGAGAGGAAAGGAGAGGGAGAGAGAAAAAAACATCAATCATGAGAGAGAATCATGGATCAGCTGCCTCCTGCATGCCCCCTACTGGGGATCGAGCTTGTAACCCAGGCATGTGCCCTGACTGGGAATGGAACCGTGACCTCATCGTTCATAGGGCGACGTTCAACCACTGAGCCACACCGGCCAGGCTGTCTCCCGTCTTCTCTCTCGGCTTATCCACGGGCAGGGACTACTCACCACTTTCCCTGAACAGCTGCTGGGCAAGGCACTGGCCTCGATGAAGAAGCTCCGGAGCAGGTGTTTGCTGGGTTCGGGACTGTCCAGTAAGATGTAGGAGCAGAAGAAAGCCCCATGGCGAAGCAGGAAGATGGCGATGTCTTCATTCCCTGGGGGGCAGACGTGGGGCACTCAGGACGTCTCAGACAGTCGCCCCCATCCTGAACAACCACACGTGGCCAGGAGGGGGCGCCGAGGCACACCGCCACGTAAAACGAAACATGTTCAACTTGTGCTGGTTCAACGTCTCTGTGACCTCCCGGATCCACCGACCAGTGCGAATGTGTCTGGGACTCTGCCCTTTGCGGGACCGCCTGCAACGGTGCCACTGGCCACAGCCGGTCCCTGTCCTTGAAATCCCCTTGACGGGGTGACACTGGGCAGGAATCAGGGAGGATGCAGACATTTGGTGGCTCAGTGGTCGAGCATCGACCTATGAACCAGGAGGTCACCGGTTCGATGCCCGGGTTGTACGCTCGATCCCCAGCAGGGGGCGTGCAGGAGGCAGCTGATCAGTGATTCTCTCTCCTCATTGAGGTTTCTCTCCCTCTCACTCTCCCTTCTTATCTGAAAGCAATAAAAACATGTTAAACAAACAAACCAACAAAAAACCAAATAGCAGGAGTTTTCATGTCTCCACGCAGGTAACTGACAGGCGGGGGTAAGGGTGGAGACACTGTTTCATATCTCAGAACCATGCCAGTTCCCAGGGGCAGGACTGAGCCGGAACTCACCTGCCTTGATGGCCGCGTACAGGGGTAAGCGCACGATGACAGGGAACTCGTTCTTCCTGACCGCGTAGCTCTCGGGGTCGGCCCCGTATGTCAGGACCAGGAGTTTCACCAGCCCCAGGTGGCCTCGCTGACAAGCCAGGGCCAGCATCCAGTTCAGCAGCCGCTGGAGGCTGCAGGGACCTGGCGGGAGACAGAAGGGCAGAGGGACAGTGGCCCCAAACGGCACTGGTGGCCCCTACGTTGACCGCCCTCTTGGATCATCAGTGAAACCCAGTTGTCCTGTTTCCAGATGGAATTTGCTTCTGCCGAGTTTGATCGCGTTTTCTGGAACAGTCCCTCTGAATCTGCATATTATTACAAACCCACCTGCTCATCGCATAATGCCAAGGGAGGGAAGGCAGCATTCAGAGCATGAGATACTGTGCGGGGTTGGTGTGGCTCAGCGGTTGAGCGTCGGACCCAAGTGTGGGGCCCTTGTAAGCAAAGGGCCCCGCGTGGCACCACTGTTGCATGACCTTGAAGCCTGCCCTACACCCCAAAAAATATCCTCATTTTCAATGACCACTGGTAAGGCAATGCCTCAGCCTATAATTGCAGCGATGCCTGCACTTGTACGGTATTGCAGATCCGAGGCCACCGTGGGAAATTAAAGGAGACCAGAGCATCCTGAGTCTCCCAGAAGAAAAATTCAATTGCTACTAAAAAAGCAACATCACACGGCACTTCCAAAACATGTAACAGGATTCAGTGATAAAAAGGACTGAGGCCTGGAGTGGACTTTGGTGAGTCGTAATGTATCAATATAGGCTCAACCGTTGGAACAAATGTAGCACATTCATGCGAAATATAAATCAGAGGGGAACCTAAGGGGAGAGCGGGCCACGGGAATTCTCAATTAGATTTTATAAAAAGGCACATAGACGCCTACAGTGTGAGCACTGGAGCTCAAAATGGGTAAAAGTGAGAAGAAATAAGCCTTTTGGGGTGCAGCCCCCCCTTCCCCAATGCCTGTCTGATTCCTAAAGAAGAGGGGTCCCCTGAGTGGGACTTACCTCGGAAAGACTCGAGCAATTCCTGCACGACCTCCGTGTGCCCGAAGTGCGCCGCCACCACCGCGGGGTTGTCGTCCGTGGGCTCCGTCGGCAGCGCCACCTGCCTCTCGGTGAGAAGATAGCGGACGGTCTCCAGGTCCCCGTAGGCCGCTGCGATGCTCAGGAGCTGGCCCTGGTCAAAGCAAACAGCAACAGGACCCCGGGGAGGCCAGCGCTGTGGGAAATCGCCGAGAGAATCGCCTCTGCGTGCTTTACCAAGCCCACGGGGAAGGCTAGAGCCGGGCTGTGTGGGAGGGCGCCCCCTCCTGGCCACGCGCGGCTGTTGAGGACTTGAAATGTGGCCAGAGGTGCCGAGGGTGTGAAGGCACATGCGATTTCCAAGACATGGCCCCAAAAAAGGCAAAGGAGTTCATCAATGATTGCTATGTTAATACTAATTACCTTTAAAATGATGACCTTTTAAAAAAAATCCTCACTCAAAGATATTTTTAAAAAACATGCCCTAGCTGGTTTGGCTCAGTGGATAGAGCGTCGGCCTGCGGACCAAAGGGTCCTGGGTTCGATTCCGGTCAAGGGCACGTACCTCGGTTGCAGGCTCCTCCCCAGCCCAGGCCCAGGTTGGGGCTCGTGCAGGAGGCAACCAATCGATGTGTCTCTCTCACATCAATGTTCCTCTCTGTCTCTCCCTCTCTCCTCCACTCTCTCTAAAAATCAATGGAAAAATATCCTCGGGTGAGGATTAATCCCTCCAAAAAAATTAATTCCAACAGCATAAACAAGTGCAAAATGAGGAGGCCCACCACCCCCCCAATACCTCTACCTCCCAAACCCGTCTGCAAAGAAAGCCACTCCAGCCCAGCCCCAGTGGCTCAGTGATTGATCTTTGCAACCTCTGAACCAGGAGGTCACGGTTCGATTCCTGGTCAGGGCACATGTGCTGGCTGTGAGCTCGATCCCCAGTAGGGGGCGTGCAGGAGGCAGCCGATCCATGAACCTCTCTTATCATTGATGTTTCTCTCTCCTTCTCCCACTCCCTTCCTCTCTAAAAGCAATAGAAATATATTAAAAACACACACACACACCAGTAATTTGATGTTAGTATAACGTGTGTCTACAATCTGGGTCTATAATCGGGTTAGGCCGTGCCGGGTGCCCCCTTCTGGCCGGAGGGTCCGGCATGGACCTTACCTTTTCCAACACCAGTAATTTGATGTTAGTATAATGTGTGTCTATAATCTGGGTCTATAATCGGGTTCGGCCGCACTGGGTGCGCCGTTCTGGCCGGAGGGTCCGGCATGGACCTTACCTTTTCCCGCTGGGAGGCGCACCCGTCACAGACTTCCCTGAGCAGGTGGCGGGCTCTGCTGGGGTCGCCCCGCTTGTATGCGGCGTGAATGTCTTCCGTCCCAGGACACCGCCCGGCGGGGTCACCGTCCGGTGTGGCCAGTTTGCTGCCCATGTCCCCGGCACCTGGGTGGAGGGAAGCGCACACAGCGTCACCATCACTGCTGGCTCATGGGAATCATTAGAAAGGTTTCTGTTTCTTTAAAATATATTTTTATTGTTTTCAGAGAGGAAGGGAGACACTGGGGTTCGAGCCTGCAATCCAGGCATGTGCCCTGACCGGGAATCGAACCCTGACCTCCTGGTTCATAGGTCGATGCTCAACCACTGAACCGTGCCAGCTGGGCTCTATCTATATATTTATATATCCAACACTTAATTCTCTCATCCTCACCAAAGAAAACATGACTAAATACTGTCAGTCGATTCAAAATCTGTGGCATTCCCTGTACACCCTATAAAAGACACTCAGATCTTATTTCCACACCCATAACATTTAAAAATCACAGTCATCTCCACGCACAGGGCGGCAGACAGTAAAAATAAATCTATCGTCCTGGCCGGTTTGGCTCAGTGGATAGAAAGCCGGCCTGCAGACCAAAGGGTCCCGGGTTCGATTCAGGTCAAGGGCATGTACCTCGGTTGCAGGCTCCTCCCGGGCCCGGGCCCTGGTCAGGGCTTGTGGAGGAGACAACCAATGGATGTGTTTCTCTCTGTCTCTCCCTCTCCCTTCCACTCTCTCTAAAACTCAATGGGAAAATATCCTTGGGGGATGAACGAAAATAAGAACAACAACAAAATAAAATAAAAATGTATCTATCAACGCACAGTTCTCTGCAGAACACACCCAAGTCAACTCTAGGATGCTACTGACCTGGTCATCACTGTTTAACGACCTTCCCGGGACATCCTCCAGCGCGTCCCCATGTGGCCGAAGCCGGAGGGGTGCGGGGATGGGGCCACGGGGACGGACCCTCCCCGCAGGTCACACCCTCCTGGGCCCGTGGGGTTCACCCACCGCAGCCCGGACTCGACAGGCCTTCCCCGCGGGGGACGCTGCCGCCTCTGCCAGCTCAGGCTCCAGAGGCTCAGCCTGCGCAGCAGTTTCATCTCTGGGTCGGATTACGGTGAAATCCAAGCCTTTCTTCCTTCGGGGAAGATGCTCACGGCGTGGAGGGCGGCGTGACCCCCAGGGTGACCCTCGAGGTCATCCCTCCCCGGCTCCAGATGGCGGGTGCCCAGCCCCATCACGCCGGGCCCCTCGGACCCCCCGGCATCGGGACAGCGATCAGCGGTGGCCTGGCTCCCTCACACACAACAGCCACGTCACATCCAGCCCAGCCCAGCCTCGCAGCCCAGACAGACGGCCTCTCTGTGGGTCTCCCCACCTGGCCCCTGGGGACGCCATGTCAAAGGCGGATGGATGGCGCTACGGGGTGGGCACAAGTAGATTGACAGCCGTGAGTGCGCGAGACACACAGCTGGTTCCTGGCTTATTATTTATTTACTAAGGACTGTCTTCTGGATTATGCTGGGGAGCCTACTTTCGCCCAGCCCTGTGTATGTGTATACACACTGATCCCGCAGCGGGGTAGCACGCAGAGAGCTGCTATTTTCCCTGGAGATAAAAAGTACAATCAAGCCCGGCCCACGTGGCTCAGGGGTTGAGCATCGACCTGTGAACCAGGAGGTCAGGGTTCGATTCCCGGTCAGGGCACATGCCCGGGTTGTGGGCTCCATCCCCAGTCAGGGGGCGTGCAGGAGGCAGCCGATCCATGTTTCTCTCTCTCTTCCTTCCTCTCTGAAATTTTATTTAAAATAAAAAATTATTTTAAATGAAAATATATACTTTCCAGCTTAACCAAGCAAAATTTCGCACCGGATTCAACTCGCTATTGGCAAAGCTGGGCACCGGGGAAGGAAGACACGATCGCAACGCAGAGGGACATTTAGAGTGAGGCACCAATGTATTATTTTAATATATTTTTTAAAATTGATTTCAGAGAGGAAGGGAGAGGGACGGAGAGAGAGAAACATCCATGATGAGAGAGAACCATGGATTCTTTTACCGAGAACTGTGACCTGTGCTGAAACCCCGAGCGACGGAAATGTTCGCCCATGACCCTGGCCATCGGCTGCCTGGCTCAGAACGGCCAGCGGGCACTGAATCCTCTCGCTCAACGCGGACAAAGGTGCCTCAGGCCCTTCTGGATCCTGCTTTCCGAGAGCAGCTCCACGCGGTCCCACGGCCCATGTCCACACCGCCTGCCCTGGGGTCTGGCCGCTTCGGCACACGGGCAGCGGGGTTCACGTCAGGTCAGCGGCCAGCCTGACTCAGGATAGTACCCGGGGCTTTCCAACTCCTACCAGCAACCGAGGTCTGTGCCGTGACCGGGAATCGAACCCACAACCTTGGGGCGCGCGGGAAGTTACAGGAAAGTAGATATAACCAGAGTCACACATGCCAAAACATGCTGAGCCTCACCTACTACACAAGAGAAATTCGGCCCTAACCGTTGTGGCTCAGTGGATAGAGCGTCGGCCTGCGGACTGAAGGGTCCCAGGTTCGATTCCGGTCAAGGGCATGTACCTTGGTTGCGGGCACATCCCTAGTAGGGGGTGTGCAGGAGGCAGCTGATCGATGTTTCTCTCTCATCCATGTTTCTAACTATTCTTCTCCCTTCCTCTCTGTAACATAATCAATAAAATATATTTTTTTAAAAAAGAGAAATTCATATGAAACCATGCAAAACACCCTGTTTAACTTAATTTCATTTATTTTTATTTTCCCATGGACTTTTAGGGAGAGGGAGAGACAGAGAGAAACATCGATCAGCTGCCTCCTGCACACCCCCTACTAGGGATGTGCCCGCAACCAAGGTACATGCCCTTGACCGGAATCGAACCTGGGACCCTTTGGTCTGATGCTCTATCCACTGAGCCACACCGGCCAGGGCCATTTTTTTTTTTAAAAAGAAACAGTCCAGGCGAACCCCCAAGGCAGCCCACCCTGCCTCCCTGCCTCCCTCCCGTCGCTGTGGGCTGCGGTGACCGGGCCGCGTTCCGACAGCGACGGGGAATCCCAACTCGAACACCAGCACCCAACCACGTTCCCACAAGCTTTTGAGGAAGATGAAGGCCGTAAAGGAGAAATGCCCAGCCTCACCCACCGAGCCTGCAAGCTGGGCAGGCAGCGGAGCGGCAGGAAGGGAGCCCTCCCCACCCCGCTCCCTCCCCACCCCGCAACCCCCCAGAAAGCAAAACAGAACCGAGTTTCCAGCTTATGGAGCCAAGGACCCGGGACCCCTGGGAGCAGGACCCCCCGGGGCAGGGAAAGACGGGGCAGATCTTGGGCCTCAGAGTCCCCAAGGGGAAGTGGGCAGAGACAAAGCAAGACAGGGTCCTATCAGATCTGAGAGCTGGCATTTCCTCTTTTTTTTTTTTGTGAATTTTCACCCGAGCATATTTTTCCCATTGATTTTTTTTTAGAAAGAGTGGAAGGGAGGGGAGGGAGAGAGAGAGAAGCATCGATGTGTGAGAGACACATAGATTGGTTGCTTCCCACACACACTGAGACGGTGGGGGTTGGGGGGAAGGGCGGGGATTGAACCTGCAATCCAGGTACGAGCCCTTGATCTGGAATCGAACGGGAATCGAACCCGGGACCCTTCAGTCCTCAGGCCGATGCTCTCACCACTGACCCAAATTGGCCAGGGCAAGAAGTTATTATTATTTTTTTTTTTACTTTTTAAAGTATTTTATTGATTTTTTACAGAGAGGAAGGGAGAGGGATAGAGAGTTAGAAACATCGATGAGAGAGAAGC